CCCCAAAACCCCAAAACCCCATGAAACTTAATGTTGCATAGAATTTGAAAAGCTTTAATATAATTTATTACATAATTGAAAAGTCTAGGTAAGATACTATGGTATAATTATATTTCATTCCATCATATCATTTATACTATTTTAATTTGTTAATCGCATTAATTGTAGGTTTAGAGTTTTTCCATTCCTCCATTTAAAATGAATATTGAATAGCTCGAATAATAAAGCATTAAAAAGGTTATAGAGAGAGATTTTTGGATCGGCGTAACATTCATAAATCACAAAATCAAGGCTAAAGTTTTCGCAAACGACAGCTTTGAAAGGCTAATTTAAAGAGTATTTTATTGAATATTGACAATTTTAGTTAACCTTCATGCTCGGGATAGAAGAACAATACATCATAGGTTTTAAACCTATCGACATGGAAAATGATCCAATTAAATTTGAGGAAAAGAAGAAAAATCAACCCAAAAAATAAAAAAAGGAGGTTTAAGAATCTGAAGATGAGGACTATGATTCTGAGGACGAGGAAGGTTAATTGTAAATTCCCAAAGATGTGGTCAGATAGGTAGAAGACTTGCAAGAGGATTTGTTTTACTTGGTTTGCTATCTGAGATAGAAAACAGAAGAAGAAATAGAAATTGAATAAAAAGTAGGATATTTTCTTTATTCAATAATTATCTAGAAACAAAGGATAGAGTTGGAGATTGATGATGAGAAAAGTAACAGAGTGACACCAAGGAAACAAATGATGAAATTCTTTCAAAAATAAGGAATAAACTTGAATGAATGTATATTAATCGCATTGTAATTAAACTAGGTCATCTGAAGATCAAGCCTGAGAAAGGGGCCTCTAAGTATATGCTATGTCCATTTATATAATGTCTCAAAGAATTCTCAGAGACTGGAAATCTTAAGACTCACATGAGGACTCATGTAAGATAATAAACGTTAACAATCAAATGATTATTTAAAACTAGACTGGAGAGAGACCATTTGTATGCACCTTTGAAGGATGTTAAAAAGAATTCATAACTAAGGGACACTTAAAGACGCACGAATTGATCCATTCAGGAGATAGGCCATACGCTTGTGAAAAATGCGACAAAAGTTACTCAAGGTCTGGACGTTTAAAAATTCATATGAGAACCCATGTAATATCACTCATTTTTTCTGATTCATTTAGACTGGAGAAAAGCCATTTATCTGTCCTTTCGATAAATGCGATAAAACCTTTACTGAGAAAGGTAACCTTAAAACTCATATTAGGATTCACTCAGGTGAGAAGCCATATCTTTGCTCCTTCTAGGATTGTGACAAGTCATTCACTACTTAAGGCCATCTTACGGATCACATGAGGAGACATTCTGGCGAGAGGCCATTCAAATGCACTAAATGTGATATGGCTTTTATGAGATCCAGCACTCTCAAAATCCATTTAAGGCGCCATAATGGGGAAAAGCCATTTCAGTGTGAAGTATGCATGAAAGCATTTTCTGACAAAGGAAACTATAAATCTCATATGAAAATTCATGTAGTTTATTGACATTTATCAGTTTTTAGGGTATTGATGAAATATTTGACGATGAAGACTCAGAACCAAACTATCTTCCACTAAATTCAAACGAAAATCATAAAATACAATTAAATAGGAGAGCAAGTTCTTAGCTAGATTTAACATTTTGTCAAGAAATATCCAAAGGGTTTAAAAAAGTCACTGAGAAGAAACTGAAAAATAAACTAGCTAAGTAACAAGAAAATTTTGAAAATACACCCAAATTTTAAGGTAATAATGAGTCCAAGAAAAAGAGAATTATTAAAAATGAGGATAAAGCAAAGATTAAGTCCCAGAAAGAGATTAAGGTAGATAGTCCTATAATGAAAGAAGCTGAAAAGATTGAGTTTAAGCTAGATAAGAGTTTCTAATAAATTCATAAGAATCTTGTCTAATAAAATTTTGAAAAACAGCAATATCAAATGTAATAATAGTCTGAGCTGAATTAGTCTTAGTAGTCAAGTGAGATTAGCTAACTAGGACTTTAATCTTAGCTAAAGTTTATTAATAATAATAGTACCTCAACTAGCCAATAAAACTTCTCAATCAACTATTAAACATAGTAACCATAAAATTGTATTTCAATTGGAAATATTGGACAGGCTACATTTAATATACCCATAGCTATTAATGTTTTTCCTCAATAACTGGGCATGAAATCAGCAACATCTAGTAAATAGCCATCATTTTAAAATCTTTTTGCTAGTCTTTAGTAAAATTAATAAGGCTACACTGCCTCTAAATTCTAACCAAGCAATTCCAGTAACAACAACAATAATAATAACAATAATAATGGAGTTTAATCACCACAGAGAGCTGGTAGCTAGCATAACTTGTATAGCTTTTAATAGAGTCCATAAGGCAAAACCTAATTTTAGTCAGATCCTAATGCAAGCAATTATTCGCCTGATTCTAATCAAAAAGTTATAATGAAACACCATTAATAGAGTCAACCTGTTCAGCCTGGTTTTTAAATCACACATCCTAAGTAACACCTTGAGAAATGGAAAAACTTTGGATCATTCTCAAGTATCACAAGCTTAAATGAACTAATCATGAATAATAAAAGTTTTGGCTTACCAACAATTGGCAACACATTTTAAAATTAATATAACTTCTCTTGTGATTCTAGGCCGATGTCTAAGTAAGGAAGCGCACATAATTTGTATTCAATGCAAATTTAAAACATGAACAAGAATAATATGATGGGATAAAACTCAGATATGAAAGGATTTGTTAAGTTCCACGACAGTGGAATGAATCTTGGAGAAGCATCTCTGAATTAATAAGTAATGAATGCAGGTAACTTCGGATCAACTATAGCTGATTCTGAAGCCTTAAGACAGCTTTAAAAAACTCACAGTTTAACTAATTTATTTTCATCAAATCAGAAGCAAGTTCCCCTTTTCCCTTCTGAAATCGATCAAAACAATAGACCAAAGTGATTTAATATTTGATATTTATTTAATTTTCTATTTGTGTCAATTTATCTCTTATATATCTTTTTCCCTATACTTACTTGAATAGACTACTAATGGTCTCCTGGGGTTTTGGGGTTTTGGGGTTTTGGGGTTTTGGGGAAAAGAGG